GAGGATTTATAAAGTAAACTTTATGCTTAAAGAATGATACAATTGCAAGCAGACAAGAAAGAATAAAAAGTAACTATTAAAATATACTTTAGAAATAACAATTTCAACTGAATATCATTATACTGCAAGCTAGTTAAATTGGTAAGTAGATATCCTGTTTTTTAAACAACCCAATGATACCCGTTACTTGTTATCTATCTATCTATCTATCTATCTATCTATCTATCTATCTATCTATCTATCTATCTATCTATCTATCTATCTATCTATCTAATCTGTCTTTCTAAAAAACATGAAAATTAAGTAGATACCTAAATAAAGATCTAAATAATATAGGTAAAAATACACGGCATAATGAATGAATGCAATAACTGAAAAAAACAAAGAACAAAACAACAACAACAAATAAATTGTCACTTAAACAGCTAAATAAATTAATTAATAGAAAAAATGAATGATTTATTAATTAATTATTAGTTAATTAACGAAAATGTGATATAAATCTTTTTTAAAGCATAACAAAAGACAAGGAAATGAATAAACAGATGGTATAAAGGAGTTAAATTGTTTAACAATAATGGAACAAACAAATAGTTTTTAATTATGAAAATTATGAGTAGACCTTGAATAACCAGAAAAAAATGAATTCGTGATTTATACACTAGGAAATTGATAAAGAATGATCAACAATGAATACCTTTTACAGATCATAGTATCTTTAAAAAAAACCCCAAACAATTCAGAGAGAAAAAATATTAATATATTTCTGTATCAATAGATAATTAGATAAATTATACTTTATGGTTTTGGGGCGAGTACTGGCTGGCAAGAAAAATTGAAAGCTTTGAAATCTGCATTTTGAACTCAATAATTTGTTAATTTTGTAGAAGTATTCTTTAGACATAAGTTGTTTTCTGCAGAGGTAATAAATATCATAATGAAAATTCTTTAGAGCTTGCCATATCGGCCTGTATTATGAATTTGATGTCATGTCATAATTATAATTATGTATCGCCTGATTTAAGCTGACAAGCAAAAAGACCAAAAGAACTTTTCTTTTTAAAAGATAGGTTAACAGAAAACGAAGAAGAAAAGGAATATGATTTCCCCCCTCAGTCGAAGGATTATCACATGAGACGTTAAAAAAAGGACCCACGAAAAAAACCCACCAACAAAAGAACCACAAGAAAACAAACAAACAAACGTTGAACAACGCTACTCCACAGCCCAAACCAAGACACACACCAGGGACTAAAGAGTAGTGTAGATATTGTGGCGTTGGTGGCCTAGTGGTTAGGCTCTCGGACTCGCAACCGTAAGGTCGTGGGTTCGAATCCCGTCAGGG